CCACTTGATTCGAAACGTTCTCGTAGTGTGGAAAATGTTTCCGGCCTTGGATGTCGCATAAATGTGAGATGCCCAAAACGAACACCATATTCACCATTTTTTCTTCAAAAAAATTCATTTTTGAACACGTTTTTATTATAATGCTCACAAAGCTAATTTTGACAGTTTGTAACTAATCAACAATTTATTTTTTTCCAAGGATATTTTAGGGAATTAAGCCGTTGCATAAAAAACGTCCTAATAACCGAAAAAATTGCCGTAAAAACACTTGTGTCTAATATCAAAAAAAGCTTATAAAAAATTGAGTCCAAACTTGCACAAATATACAGGGTGATGCATTTGAAATTTTTGAGAAAAACTACAATTTGCGTTTTTGATCACCCTGTATGAACAAAAATTAAAATTCGAAAAAGTAACAAATAAGATGAAAGCTAAAAATTTGGGGCATTCCATTTGAACAATCATAACTTTGATATGTAGGTGGAAATTGGGATACCCTGTATAATGGCCAATATTTCAGAAATGTGCCCTCAAATGTCATGTATAATATCCCATAAATAGATTTTCCCAAAATGTAGTTGTTTATGAGTAATATTCCGTCCATACATGGATGAGCCACCCTGTATATACGCGTGCCGGACAACCCAACAAGAGAACGTCTATCTCTTGCGAATGTTGATAACTCAGCAATAATGCGTGCAAGGTAGAGCTTGGCTTGCTAGTACTGAGGCAGGCAGAGTTGCCACGTTGCTAAGTGGTGAGTGGCTGTCTCTAACACGGTAGGCTAGATTGCAATGGTGTCAAATTTGTGGGCACTATCGACCAAGTGTATGAGCTTGTTTGACTGACATGAGCCATTTAGTTCCTTCGTTTTACATGCTAGTTAGTCAGTTTCTAAGAGCGACGAATTTGAACCGAATATAATAATTAGAAGCTGTCGAGAGAATAACAACTTTTGTGAGGTTCATCTTGGAGAACATGCTGGCTGTAAAAAGCAGAATTAATGAGAGCTTGCTTCAAAAGTTACTTCAAAATTCATTACTTCTGCAAAACTTCTTTGTATCGATTTCGAGTCAGAGACAGACAGGCGAAGCTGCTTTGCGCAATAGGATTATATTTCGCTACGATCTGTCGAAGAATGTGGACGATACGATGAAGGATTTTAACCTATACGTCTGGACCGTTTTCAAATCTCCAATTTTCTCCCGGATCGAATAGAGCAGATCTCCTGTTGCGAGCTGTCATTCGATCCATGATATATTGTCAGCCCATCGAAGAAAGATGAGAAAAGTAGCAAATATTGTATGCGACCAACAAGCTGCTACACAGCTAGAGTATGTACATTCGCATCCGATGTAAGATTTATAAACCAAAGCCAATCAGACGTAGTTGTTTAATCTTCCTGGGCCTAATATACTAAGTGACATAGAAAGAAAAACACCCAGTGATAAATAAGTTTATTACAATAATTCAGTGTTATGTAAGTAACTGGTCAAAATTTCCGAAAATTCAGCCGTTGAAAGAAAAATGTAAAAAACGATAATTTTTTGGGCCTCCACAATTGTTTATGCAATCAGAAATACAACGTGGCATATCGTCTTGGCTGGCTAGTGGTACCTCGTGCCGAAGTGCCGCTGGAGCATGTGGAGGACGAGATAAACGAACTAATGCTCTTACTACAATGTCCCAGACGTGAAAGATCAGGGGACCGAGGGGCCAAGTCAATAAATGGACTCTATTGTCTTTAAAATGGACCAACGTAAATATGACTATATGTGATCGCGCGTTATCTTGTTGGAAAAATGAGCAGGTGATCATCTGTTATAGGGCAAAACATGTAAGGCATGTTGCCTCGAATGTGTGCTGCACAAGCGTTTTCATAGAAAATTAAGAATTTGTGTTTCACCTTGTTGCCTTCTCATCCCAGCATAGTCGTCATGCGTCCCCAAACATAATCTAAATTTATCACTGAAGACAATGGTATTCTATTCGAGGTCCCAGTTTAGCCGTTCTCTGCAACAAGCCAGTCAATTACTTCGGCGCCTAGGAGTGAGAGGTAGGACAAACTGAGGACCGTATGAAGTAAATCGAAAACTGTTGATTCAACGATAAGCACTTGTGAACACGAAGCGGTCCCGTAATGCCAAAAGCCTAAGGTCGTAACGATCTTGGTGTGAGGCCGTTCTATACTCGTACATCTAACTTTTCGTGTGTGGGCATCCAGATTCCAAGCCCTTTCAACAAACCACCATTGTATTTATACTTCTGTGTATCCTGGTGGCTATTTATCTAAATGACCAACCAACCTCATAGAAGCACACTATTTGCCTCCTATCAAACTCGCTAAGCTGTTAAAGATTCTGTCGTCTTCTCGCTCTAGGCATAATGAACAGTTGTAGCTACAGAACACAGCTACCGCTTACTTACGGACGTAATCACAAAACTCACTTTATCGACATTATTAATAAATATATACCTAGGAAGTATTTGTGTAAGTTCATTATTTTCCTTCCGTAAAATTGGTTACCAGTCCTGGCATACTTACAAACTAGCACTATGACTCAAGAGCTAAGGTCCCACGAACTGCTCTGACAAGCAACGATGACTTTAACTTTAAGAGCATTATAACTGGGTATCCTCTTTTCTGCCACTTGTGCAGCCAGATGAAAGCAAGCTAACGATATGATGGTGTTTACTTAACACTGTGTATAACTCAGTATCCCCTAACTACAATTTACATTCAGGACTTAGCCCTGAAAGTCCTGTAAACCAAGTAGTCAAAGAGAGCTACTTGATATGTGTTTGATTGTAATTATTCATAGAATCGATTTCTTCTAATAGATTTTTGACAGATATACTAAATAAAAGACATCTCGGCAAGTCTCCTCTTAGGTACATCAACTCAGAGACAAGAAAGTCCTGATAAGTCTAATATGGAATTATTACAGGGTGAGTCTGAATAAGGCCCTGGAGGCCATCACTGCCCCGACGCGTGATGTGTAATGCCACTTAATTTCAATTTTTATTGAATAACTGTAAAGCTTTATTGGGTACATGGAGCACGATGAACTTGCTGAAAAGGCCAACGGTCGATCAGCCCTATCGTAACATGGGTATTTTTTACGCTCTGGGTAATAATAGCTCAAAAATGATGTTTTGGGAAAACTCCAGCTGGAAGAATCAACTCTTGCTTGATTTCGATAAGCCTGGTGTTCTTTGAGTACTTTTTGAATGGTTATGAACAATGCATTTTGGATAGTTCGAAACGATCAGTGGACCATATCGGTTCAGCTTGTATCTAGGTAACATCATATTGATTCGAAGGACTGTATCTAACAGTCTCTAATAGTCACAAATTACTTGTTGGAACTCGCCGACTGGTTCCGATTCCGGGTTTCCACTTTGGAAAATATTATAGTGTCTTGATGAACTCGAAAAGTTCAGCGATATAAATACTCAAAGTACTTTACCAAGTTTTTGTTCATGTTTTTATGTATTGGCTGCCTGTGTAAATCGGTAGTATTGAAACAAACTGTTTTTGTCAAAATCAGTTCACTTTATCAGCAAAAATACTTTTTCCAGATATAAAAATTGAAGCCATAATTAAATCACACAAGGTGTGCAGGCTAGTCCGTCCTTGTTGAATTAAGTAGTAGTAGTAAGACTAGACTCAATATTTCTAATGATTCCAGTCTTGAGTGTTTAATGGTAAAAATAAAAATAAAAAAGAAATTATTTTATGTGTGTGGTATTTATATTCCACCAAATGTTAATATTGATATACATCAATGCGCAATTTTTTAATATCTTTCAATCTATTTTAGGTAAGGATGTAAATATTGTCATTTTAGGGGATTTTAATCTACCACACTATGTGAATGAAGGATGTGATAAGAGTGAGTTGTTAAATAATTTTCTAAATCTTTATAATTTGGATCAGCTTAATAGTGTGTTCAACATAATGAAAAGAAAATTAGATCTTGTACTATCAAATATGCCCATAATAAATCTAGAACACTGTGGTAATCCTATTCTTGATGAAGATCAGTACCATCCGGCTTTGAGTATGGTCTTATCAATATCTATGATTCACCGATTGAATCAAAATAACAGTACATATGGATAGGTCTATGATTATTCAAAGGGTGATTTCTATTTGCTGTACAGATTATTGAGCGATGTTGATTGGTCAGAACTTGAATCAACCTCAAATGTAGACAAGTGCACAGATATGTTCTACCAAAAGGTTTATAAATATTTGGACCTGGCAATAACTAAAAGGAAAACTAAAAAATTCACTTCAAATGCCCATACTTTTCACAAGAACTAAAAAAATGTTAAATTAAAGAAACGCCTTCACAAACAAATTAAAAAGGGCAATTCTAGCTTTCAAGTGAAGAATGACTATAATAAGATTAGAAGTGCAATCAAATATCAGACTGCAAATGAACTACTGTACTGGCCTATCATGAAAAACTTGAAAAAATTTAAAAACTGATCCAAATGGCTTTTGGGACTTTGTCAGGTCGAGGCTTTCTGGACCTGGTATCCCTGCTGAGGTATGCTATAAAAGATGTAGTATTGGTGGTGCCCAGGAAATAGCTGATACATTCGCTCTGTATTTTAGCTCTGTGTTCCAACAATCCGAAAAACCCTACTTTGACGTTTGTAATGGTAACTTATCATTCTCTCCTATCTCAGAAATACAAATACAGGCAGCAATTAGGAAGTTAAAAGCAAAAGAGGCAACTGGCAATGATAATATTCCCTCATACATATACAAACGTTGTTCTAATATCCCGTACACTCCATTAAAAACTATTTTTAATCTTTGTCTTAAAACAAACACATTTCCAGACACTCTTAAATATGCTTTGGTTACTCCAGTCCTCAAAACAGGCAATAATTCTGTGGTTGACAACTACTACTAAATTAGCGTTTTAAACTCTCTTGCGAAAATATTTGAGAATATCTTGTATCAAGATATTTTGAGCCCTCTTATGCATAGGTTCTCTCTGCAGCAGCATGGTTTTCTGCCCGATGTCTCAACTGTTACGAACCTCAGCATCTTGACTGGGGCAGCTGCCGGGGCAATTGACAACAAAGAACAGTTGGATGTTGTTTTGACGGATTGTGCGAAAAACTTTGATCAGGTTGATCATGGTCTGTTCGTGAACAAGTTGGGTAAATCTGGTTTCTCAAAAAGTGCATGTGAGCTTATGGCATCATACCTAACCTTAAGGCCGCAGTAGATTAAAGTTGTTAAGCATTTATCAAAGATGAACATAATAACATCTGGGATACCCAAGGGCAGTAATCTTGGGACTCTATTATTCATAATTTTTCTGAACGATCTGTGTCCCAGTGGTTCAAGGAAAATAAAATGTTGAATATTGCCAAATGTCGTAGTTTAACTTTTACATGAAAAGCACAGTTTATGGATTTCAATTACAAAATTACAGTTTCCTTAGTAGTCTATAATAATTTTGTACAACTCACTGGTCCGACCTGTTTTGGGGTATGCCTCTGTTGTCTGGGCACCCCAAACAATGGTGCATATTGATATGATCGAAAGGGTACAAAAAAGATTTTTAAGATATCTGTACTTAAGGACCCACAAAGCTTATCCATACATGATCTCTTATAATAGTATGCTAACAGAAGTTAAAATTGTGCGGTTGAGCGTTAGGCGTGGTTTGAATGATATCTTGTTCATTTACTGCATAGTTAATAATTTAAAATATAAGAAATAAATAATATATTCTTTGCTGTTCCCAGAATCAAATTGAGAATGAGAGACAACAAAATTGTTCACTGTTCACCTGTTAGTTGTTCTTCTATCAATAGAATGATGTATGGGTGTAATAGTTATATACAAAATTGTGATGTGGATGTCCTTTCGAGTACTGCAAGACAAATTAAGATTGGTTTTAAATTTAAGTAAAACATCCTTATCTCATTTTATTTATTTGTTTGTTGATTTTAGTTTTTCTTTGTCGTTATTTTTTAGTTATAAGTTTTAGTGTATTCTCTGTTTCTCTACTCTCCAGTGAGCACTCCTACGTATAACTACATTCAAATGTGTTTGTATGAGTTTAAATAAATAAATAAATAAGTGGGTCAGTTGTTATTCATGGATACCGCCATGTGAGGTCTCAACGAGATACCATCACTGCCCAATGTCGTCTAAATTAATTAAAAAATGTATATCAATTGACTTTCTTTGAGTAAATCTCTGAAATGAATTGGTATTTTGGAAATCGCCTGAAAACGACATGGCCATGGAATAGTTCAAAGTATCTACGCTTGAATATTTTGCCCTATACTTTTGAAACACCTTGTAGATAGCCGGCATCTGTAGAAAAACTATCATATACATATGGGACAAAAAGCGGCCGAGGATGGATTTGTTTTGGATGGTTTGGGTTCGTTCTCTGCAAGTGGAGCCGACAGGTTGATTTTGGACTGATTAGACATTAGGTCTTCCATCCACTTCACGCTGACCAACTATGTTGTTATTTTTCTTTTAGTTGTATCTATTGGATTTTTAACATTATGGAGTTGGTGGGTAGCTTATCTTAAACGTCACTCTAATATGTGATCTAGCATACTCCCATCCCCACTTTTGAAGATATTACCAGCTATCGGTGAAGGGCGAAAACTTAGAGATACAACAAAATGTCCACCTCTTTTCACAGATTTGCATGATTTGCCAGAAAGGTTCTTTATTTTTTCCTCCCACGCCTACTGATAGAAGTAGTATTGTAATCGCAAAAAATTTTGAAAATGAGATATTATGTTTGAATGCTATATATATATATATATATATATATATATATATATATATATATATATATATATATGTATATCATGAAAAACTATGTCGTGCATTTCCGTAGGTCTGTCTGTCCGTCTGTGCGCAAATACTTGGCCCGTTTTATCTTGGCTACTGGGATTTAGATAAATTTTGTACGAAAGGTTACTGCTGTGCCAAGGACGGAAAAGCTTTGTAGGTTTTGGAAATCGATACAGTGGTACTGGAGAAAAATACCGAAGATGGAAAAAATTTAAATCGCCAAAATTTTGTTTTTTTGACTTTTCAGAGGGGCCAAATCATGTTTGACATATTATTAAGAGATAAAAAATTGAGGGGTGGGGAGATTTAGAAACATTAGACATATTTCACACATCATATATCACTTTGAGTACATTTCCCTTAAGACAGATATTTACAGACGCGAATCGTGTCTAGGCAGCAAACCGTATTTGCGTATAACTGCATCGCTGGCCCTCTCCATCTCGAGTTATGGCGGAGTTGCCACATTCGTCGCGAGAAAAAGCAAGCAGTTAGTAATATTATAAATATAGAATAGTATATATGATATATAAGTACGTATCAAGGGCTATTATAATGAGGTATCTACCTTGACAAACAGTTTCATGCCACAGCTCCAATGAAATTTGGCTACCGTCTACGAGCGTGGGAAGTATAGAAAAAATCAACTTGACTCCATTTTTCAATACACGGTATCGTCTCAGAATACTCTCTACTAAAGGATAATCAAAAACTGGGTGTCATTCGTTTGTATCGGTATGTGTATGGGTAACTAGATTGATTCCACTAGTTTTCCAGCAATGCTCCACATGGCTGTACTAACTCCACTAAAAGATTCTAAAATAGCTTCCTTCATCAGGACACAATTCTAGTTTCAAAACGTCATTGGAAGAAAAGTAAGCAAACCGTTTGTGAAAGGAACATGTTTGTACGTACATACATGTGCACATAGGAACTAGCACAAAGGATGGCGTGCTCTGATGCCCTTTCATGCCTGTTCGCATCCTAACACAGCTGCATTTTAGCAAAAACGGAAGTGTTCCGGAGAACCTTCTAGTGTTGCGTATTCCGTATGCCTTTAGATACTTCTATGTGGATTCTGAATCACATCATTATATGAAGTTGCTATGTATTACATTGAATGTCGATCATAAATCGAAGATGAACTCTCAGTATTATTGTATAGTATCAGGCTAGACAAATGTAAATACAGATGATAAGTGTTCGCAGCTTACACAAGACCTTTTAATCATTAGTATTTTCATTATTTCCAAAATTCTAGTATTCAGTATTATAGATGAATAAAATCAACGTCCGTGCCACATGTTTGTATTCAATCTGATAGCAATCCGTAAGATGCTCAGAATTAGATTATGTTATAATTACGACTAATAGGACTGACTCTGGTACCTGGCATACACTGAGAAGCACTATACGCTCTCCATTCTTGGACATAATCTGCGTTTTCAAGTTACATCCACGGCAATCAATGTACAGGATAAAAAACTACGTATATAATATTGAGATATACCAAAATCCCTGCTACCGATACTGCAAAATCTTCAGCTCGTTACCTTTATTATATCTGATATAATCAATCATCGATATTCCGAAAAATCTCATTAAACGTCTTTACCCGTTAACCTAAAACGCTGCCCATCTCGGTTGCTTCCGCAATAATACAGAAACAGAAGTCGAAGTCGGACAGTAAATCGAATCTAAGATGGGCGAAATCCTGGACGACGACGGCATTGTCCGTTTGTCCATCGTTCGACAGCTCAGCATTGTGATCCTATTGCTGTCCACGACAACGAAAAAGGGTGGGGATCAAGCGGGCTCCCGAAAACTCGCCCTTTGTCCGACAGGAATGACAAGGGTCATTGTTCGTTCAGCCCTTAGTTTCAACGGGGAATCCTGGACTTTCCCACCAGCGGGATTCTAATAAATTGTAACAGGCGACCCGCCAGATCCTAATACAGGGTTAAGGTTTGAGATTCGGGTGACCACAATACCTAGGTATGTTCTTGATGGACCGCACCCGTGTCACTAGTATCTTGAATTTATATGGCTAATTTTCCGAACAAGTGACGTCGATGCCTGCGCCTTGCATCAGGTTTGAAACTTAATTTATCGAGCACCATAGCGCTCTTTGTACAAAATAGCTATTGAAATGTTGTGGATTGATTTTCTCAAAGCTTTTTGCAGTCGGACTCCAAGTCACTTTTCTGAAATTAAATAGAGGCTCGCAAAGATGGGTACCCTCTAAGACAAATGATCAAGCCTTGAACAAAATGGTGGTCGAAATCTTACCTTACGGTCAAAGAGCCACACACAAAAACAATTAAGAAAACACTTTCGAATAAATTGAATGGCAAGTCGAACGACGGTGATAAAAAGTGCCCATGGGACTTGAACCCAGAGAACCCCAGAAATGGGGGTTAAAAGTGCTTTTTTTTAATGACGCTATATCAAAAGAAAATAAAGATTATTCTCTCCGATTCGTATGTGATACATTCAAACATTTGTATCAGTTTGCATAAACAACAACCATATCTGGTGCTTCATAGCATTTTCTTTTTTATAGCTATATTGAAAGTTGACACGTTAACATTTAACCCTGATTACTGCGTTCGAACCTAGTTTCCATGGGTACTTTGTATCACTGAGGTACAAATGTCGATTTGGCAGGTATACATTCAAATCCAGTAAAAGTGTCTTCAAATTTATTTAGTTTCTAGGGAGGCACTCTTTTCGGCACTGTGTCCATATAAGGGTGACCTATACGACACTTTTTATGCAAACTCGGCCGAATAGTTCCTTGCTTCAGATTCAAAACTGAACGGGTGACTATTTTTTCTTTGTACAGCTATATTAACAGTCGAAATTGTCAACTTTGACCCCCACTTCCGAACCCAAGTCCCATGGACTTTTTTTATCAAAATTCATTTGACAGCTGCTCATTAAAATTGATCAGAAGTGTTTTGCCTTTAGCTTGTTGTGCCATTGAGTCATACATCACCTTGTTTACATCTAGGTACCTTGAATATGTACATGTAAGATAAAAATCTTGCCACAAAAACTCTCGTACCTTTAACCAACTAACATTTGCTATGGCGAAACTACCCTCATTTCTCACTGACACGCCCTGTATGCACAAAAATATAATTATTATCTTTCCAATGAGCACAAGATGTTCTAGAATAGCTAGTTTGTATTTGGCTTGTATAAGCCTATCATTGGCATTTTAAAGGAGTAAACGCCACTGCGACTCATAATGACTATTGTGGCCCCTTATGTACGCTGTCTAAAGCACTGTGTCCAGCCTTGATCCTGTAAACAGACTCCACGTCCTTGACGCAGGATTTTCTATGTAGCTTTGAGATGTTGGATTTGTGATTCTTAATATCTGAAAATTCA